AAATGTTGTATTACTTTAAGAAGTTAGTGCCAACAGGTAGAAACAGGAAGCGGGTGATGAGGGGAAAAAGAACTGACCTATGACCATATATTTGTACATGTATCAACCATATAGTGTCTCCATTGCACTTTTAACTAAGCCACCTTTTATGTTATAAAAATTTGTTTAAAGTATATAAATAAATTACGCTTACAGTAGCTTGGCAGGGTGGCAAGTAAAGCCTGGTGGCCCGCTAGGCTTATAATACAGTAGGGGAAACCTTGATGACAAAACTAAATGTTTGAATATGCAGTTATAATAATTAAAGTAATGCATAAGCATTCCCACTTGATAATTGTTGCTCTTCTGTTTAAACAGAAAGCAAGTAGATCTTTTCTTGTTTGCATTTCTGTGACAAGGCTGTGAAACCAGAGCAGTGCAGTGGGAATCTTATGGCCATGCCTGCCGTCTACCTGTGCTGTTCACTGCTGCAGTCTGTTAAACAAGAGCAAAGTAGGATACAGTATGGTCAACGAGTAAAGACTTGAACACATAAAGGCGATTTTGCTTGAGGGAGTCCAGGTCTCCCACGCTGGCAGCAGCCACAGCAATCTTTTCCCATGCTACAAAATGTAACTCATAATCTGCAAGGTTCCTCTTCTTCACTCTCACTTCCATCACTGTGGTCAGACTTCCTTCATGCCTGCTGTTTGAGTAAATCCACAGAGGAGCTGAGGGCCAATCACCAATGCACCTGCATACGCTGACATATGTCAGATGTGACAGAACAGAGTTGTGTGCCTACTGACAGGCTCTTTCTGATGTTGTGATTAGAGAAGCCACTACTGACAGGTCTTCTGATTGTGTATGTGTTTCAGGCTTTTCATTATGCAGGATCTGACCCTGTCACTCTATTGGCTACCTTCAGCTGCTTACTCAACATTCATAAAGTACTTGAAAGATACTTTAGTGTCGTACAGAGTTAAAAAACAGCATGGGTAGTTGGAGCACAAGTGCGACTGAAAATAACAAGGAAAAAAATTATAGGAGCAACTGATGGGGAGTAAGAAAAGGGCAAGTGAAAGAAAGGCTGAAAAATTTATTCTGAAGGAAAAAATGATACCGAAAAGTAGCAAGATGGGAGGAAAGCAGACAAACTTTTAACTTTTAGCCCTTTAACTTTTAACTTTTAGCCCTTTAAATTGTTCATCTCATTGTATTTTTCAATAACGCATTTTTTGCACAAATGCCATTTTGCACTGAACCACTGCAACTTGCACACTGTCTCTTATCCTCTGCACTGTTCACACTTTGACCACTGCTGCACTTTTTGTATTTTTCTATAACTCGTGCCATTTGAAATATCAATGCAACGTTCATAAGCTGTATGTAACGCAATTTCGTTCTGTATGCACCCTGTGCATACAAAATGACAAATAAAGAAGTCTAAGTCTAAGTCTCTAACAAAGCTTGCAAGCGATGGTGAGAGAGAAATGGGGTAGAGGGATGGGAGGAAGAGGATGAATAGGGTAATAATGGCTTAGTGTGAGAGCTGCTGTGGAGAAAGAGAGAACGGCTGAGTGAAGAAGAGAACAAAATGAGGCTGAGGGCACTCAGACAGATAGAATTAGACACACCGCAGAGGTTCAGTGTGTGCGCGACAGAGCCAGAGAGTGTGTTTGTTTTTACGTGTTTCTGTGTGCTGTGATAACATGAGTGCAGGCAGCAGGATTTATAGGAGTGCAGTGCTTTTACCATGTGTGTGAATGAATGGCTCAAAGGGAGGAAAATATGGTCGATTTTCTGAATATATTAATGATAATACTAGTTTTTTGCTGTTGTAATTAGCATTGCAATAATTTTTTTATTGTAAAGATTGTATTGGAGATTCCTAGTGGAAAAGGTTATTGGATTACGAAGCTCTCATTGTGCAGGTTATTCCTTTGAACAAATATAATAATAGTAACAAAATACAACTGAGAAGCTTTTAAGCTCCTGCAGCGATCTTAGTTTTAACAGAAATTACATAAATTCTTACATCAAAAGCTATGGTATTTTATGGTTGCTTGTGTATAGATACTTAAGTAGCTCCTATTTTATCATAGTTATAAAGCAAACCTTTACTTTTATACACCATTTTTTGACCCAAAGAAATCTGATTAATTCCCCAAATCAGGCAAATGTATAGCATGTGTTGATTCCCATTAGGCCCTTATTTTTTAAAGACGTTTACCTTTATACATCTAATTACAGGTGCTGGTCATAAAATTAGAATATCATGAAAAAGTAGATTGATTTCAGTAATTCCATTTAAAAAGTGAAACTTGTATATTATATTCATACATTACATACAAACTCATATATTTCAGATGTTTATTTTGTTTAATTTTGATGATTACAAATGACAACAAATGAAAATCTCAAATTCATCATATCAGAAAATTAGAATATTACTGAAGACCAATAAAAACAAAGGATTTATAGAAATGTTGGCCAACTGAAAAGTATGAACATGAAAAGTATGAGCATGTACAGCACTCAGTATTTAGTTGGGCCTCCTTTGGCCTGTATTACTGCAGCAATGCGGCGTGGCATGGAGTCGATCAGTCTGTGGCACTGCTCAGGTGTTATGATAGCCCAGGTTGCTCTAATAGTGGCTTTTAGCTCTTCTGAATTGTTGGGTCTGGTGTATTGCATCTTCTTCTTCACAATACCCCATAGATTTTCTATGGGGTTAAGGTCAGGAGAGTTTGCTGGCCAATTAAGAACAGGGATACCATGGTCCTTCAACCAGGTACTGGTAGCTTTGGCACTGTGTGCAGGTGCCAAGTCCTGTTGGAAAATGAAATCTGCATCTCCAAAAAGTTGGTCAGCTGCAGGAAGCATGAAGTGCTCTAAAACTTCCTGGTATGTGGCTGCGTTGACCCTGGACCTCAGAAAACACAATGGACCAACACCAGCAGATGACATGGCACCCCAAACCATCACTGACTGTGGAAACTTTACACTGGACTTCAAGCAACGTGGATGAAGTGCCTCTCTTCTTTTCCTCCAGACTCTGGGACCTTGATTTCCAAAGGAAATGCAAAATTTACTTTCATCAGAGAACATGACTTTGGACCACTCACCAGCAGTCCAGTCCTGTTTCTCTTTAGCCCAGGCAAGACGCTTCTGACGCTGTCTGTGGTTCAAGAGTGGCTTGACACAAGGAATGCGACAGCAGAAACCCATGTCTTTCATACGTCTGTGTGTGGTGGTTCTTGAAGCACTCACTCCAGCTGCAGTCCACTCTTAGTGAATCTCCCCCACATTTTTGAATGGGTTTTGTTTCACAATCCTCTCCAGGGTGCGGTTATCTCTCTTGCTTGTACACTTTTTTCGACCACATCTTTTCCTTCCCTTCGCCTCTCTATTAATGTGCTTGGACACTGAGCTCTGTGAACAGCCAGCCTCTTTAGCGATGACCTTTTGTGTCTTGCCCTCCTTGTGCAAGGTGTCGATGGTCGTCTTTTGGACAACTGTCAAGTCAGCAGTCTTCCCCATGATTGTGTAGCCTATAGAACTAGACTGAAAGACCATTTAAAGGCTTTTGCAGGTGGTTTGAGTTAATTAGCTGATTAGAGTGTGGCACCAGGGGCCATCAATTTTGAACCTTTTCACAATATTCTAATTTTCTGATATGATGAATTTGAGATTTTCATTTGTTGTCATTTGTAATCATCAAAATTAAACAAAATAAACATCTGAAATATATGAGTTTGTATGTAATGTATGAATATAATATACAAGTTTCACTTTTTAAATGGAATTACTGAAATCAATCTACTTTTTCATGATATTCTAATTTTATGACCAGCACCTGTATATAAATTACTTTATTATAATTATGCAGGGAGTTTTACAGATTATATGGACACTATTGATGTTTTTTTCACTGTAAATCCGATTCTAAAGGGCATAGACACAGTCCATTTAGGACATAAACTAAATATTCATCTAGTTATTGAAATTACAAATGAATAAAAAAATAATCTATTAGGGATTATACAGCACAAAGCCAGAAGCAGAAACCAGCATTCATTTTTTTCCAACTTACTCATTTTATGGCATTGCAAGAAACTATTTCACGTACTGTTTGTACTGTACATAGCATGAAAAAATATGTTTCAAGCATTTCTTTCACATTCATAAAGTACAAAGCACAGCTACATTTAACATGTGGTTTACTTATTGAAATCTCTCAGCTTCAATGTCCGATCCGTCTGCTTGTATCTGCATAAGCAGCTAATGTGTTTATTTGATCGTCCATCAAGAAGCCAGGAGAGTTTCATACTGATTTTTAACCCATATTGCAACATCTCTAATTCCTTACTAATTGGTCTTAAAACATCAAATGAAACCCTCTGAAATGCTGACCTGATATCTAATAAAAACCAAATGCGTTTCAGCTAGTCCATAAAGCTAAGAATCAATGAGGAAAATAAAAAGGGCATTAGATTATCGCTGCTTTAGTAGATTGCCAAACTTTCTAATTTTCCTCGATTTAATGTTATTTCACCTAACTATCTGTAAGAAAAGGAGTTAAAAACGTCAGCATTTTGTTTAACTAAGACAAAATAGTACTTTCAGAAATAGCTAATCAACTAATTTAATAGATAACTGAGCTATTTTTCTGAAATATGGGATGAAGGAGTGAGAGACAGAGAAAAGCTGAGGTAGACAGGACTCCATTAGATTGAGCATTAGAGAGTGTGAAGGTGCTAAAAGACCCGACAATAGTTGGTGCCTTAATGTGGTCTCTATCCTGGTTCTTCACTCCAACACCTCTTTATGTGTTTTTCTCAGTGGTTTCCAACTCACATAGCTCATTAAGAAAGTGTTTGAATGCAGCAAAAGGCTTAATGTGCTGTTGATGTGCATGCTTTGCTTCATATTCACTGTGTATCTTCCTCCTTTACAATATTTGACACGATTTTACATCCTCTTCTCTCTTTGTCTTTCTCTCTCTCCCTCCTTCACAGGCAGAGATCGTCAAGCGTCTCAGTGCCATCTGTGCTCAGATCATCCCTTTCCTCTCTCAGGAGGTAAGTGCTGCCAGACACACTTACTGTAGACACAGGCACACAAAATATGACCAAAAAAAAAAGAAACTCAACTACTTGCACTTTTAAGTAACTTTGTCAGAGAAATGTAAATGCGTCTTTCGTCGAACACTAAGTTAAATGGGAAAGTGATTGAAAACAAGGTCTAATTTAGAGAATTTAGGTATTATTAATGCACATCATATACTCATTAAAACAATACGCAAGTCTGCGTATTGATAAAAGCACGGCTCATTAACTTTGCCATGTGAATTGCATCTGCAGAAAATGAATGCTGTTGATTGCACATACTCCTGGTGTTCGTGATTGAAAGAAAAAAGAAAATTAGAGCAACAGTTCACAGTATTAGTTTAAATATCTGGTTCACAACAATCTGTGATTTTAAAATGAACACACTTATTAATTACAAAATCAAATCTTCTTTTGAAGGTTACATATTTTGATTAATCCCATCATCACACTTTTTTTTGTTAGATTTTTGAACAATCAGAAGATAGTTTCATTTCAAACCAGATTTTTTTAAAAGTACATATTTACTTACATGACCCTGTTCATATCAATGGAGCGGTTTTCATATTTCCTCCTTTCAAAACCACAAACTTCACTTAGGTCGTCGCTTTGTATGCTGCCATTTTACCTAAACAGACCAGCACAAAGCTGTAAGGAGAAATGGGAAGTGGAAGGCAAAGGATATAAGGTCTCTAAAATGTGTTAGAAATAGACATTTGGAGGTATGGTGTACATTTCTGTAAGGCCTCTCTGAGTCAGTAACCTTGCGCTGCAAGAAGGATTGTCGCAAGATCTGAGTTTGTCTCAGACCAAATCCCACTTGAAAGACTCCCGCTAAAAGCTACGTCTAATAAAAACCAGCGGGTCGGACCTATACTATGCCAGCAGTGGTTTTTGGGGCGGGACATGTAGGAATGACAAGAGTCATAAGGGCCTTGCCTGGGCATTACAAACTTACCTGTCGATACCGCAATTGACTCAGTTTTAGCTAAAATAGTGACAATTTCTTGTCTAAAAAGCTAGTGCGCTAGTTATGAAAAAACTCAAGAAACTGCATGATTGGCTGAAAGCATATTATAGAAGGCGGGTATTAACCTGGGACGTCACCTCATCAGCTCGAAGTGTTGTACTAAACATCCCTCATTGATAACATAGAACTCAACTCAGTTCTACACATATCAATCTGGCTATTGCCAGTCAGTGCTTTGCAAAGCCACCTTTTCTGCAGTATAGCTGGAAGTCCTTTGGGGTATGTCTCTACCGACTTTGGACCTAGCTCCAGCTCTTTCATCTTAGATGAAGGATGTCTGGTCCGAATGTTGAATGGATGAAGGTCTTAGATCAGGAGTCTGCAACCTTTTCTATGCAAAGAGCAATTGTTGTCCTTTTTCCGGCTAAATAAAAGTGGTTTAGAGCCACAAAATATGCACAGTGCACTTTCTTCTATAGATAATTATTTTATGTAAAAACATATTATAAAAAAACAAAGCATTACCAAGGTAATTTAAAGAAAAATAGCTCTAAAAGCATGTTTCCTATTCTTTGAAAGTCACTCTGCTGTGAAAATTCATTTCAAATATTCTTTATAAAACACTACAACTTCTAAGACTGGTATTTGTTATTATAGTGCATTAGTTCTTTATTATTTCATTTTTAGCCACTATTAAGAGCAATTGAAGGGCCACATGTGGATTTGGAGGTTACAAACCCTGGTCTAGACTCTGACTGGGTTATTCTAATAAATGAAAATGCTTTGGTCTGTAGCAGCTACTGCAGCTCAGACCTCTTGTTATCTCTATCTAGTTTTATTTCAGTGTTTCCCTGTTTCAAGTTTATCTACATTCCCATCAACCCCAACAAGTTAACCTATCACTGCTGAAAAAGGCATGGTACAGCCACCTTAGTATTGTACTTTGGTGGTGTTTTAGGTGTGAATTTCAATGTTTGCACCACTTATTGGTAAGGTTAAAAGTTCATTTTTTTTTTGTTTAATCTGACCAGACAACCTCCTTACACACATTTACCCTGTACTGTTTTTATTTGAAAATGCCCATCTTTTTATAAACCACATATTTTTTACTGCCACTTTTCTGTATAGGCCAGATATGTGGAGTGGGCAACAAACAAAGCTCCACTTTCTGTAGGTTTTCTAGTGTAATACTTTCTATTTTTGGTAGATATGAGTATTTATAACATTAACCCTACTTTAAAAATTTCAGCACCTTTTCCCCTGATCTATTGGATGTCTTTATTGGTCTCCATGATCCTGTTTACACACTGATGTTCTCTAAAAACACTTCGGAGTCCTTCACAGACCAGCTGTATTTCCTCAAACTTTTTCATGTGAAAAAAAAAGTTACCGTATATATTTTTTTCCGTCAGCATTACAATTATTGCCTTAATTATCCAGGCCTATGACCTAAAATCACAGTTAAAACATTACCCTCAGTTGGGATATGAACAAATGCGAAAATGCTCAGGGGATGGGAACACTTTTGTAAGCCAGTATGTCTCAGTTCTAATCACAGTTTGCTTCTATGGCAAATGGCACGTTCAGTTCTTTTCATGATCAAAGCCAACTCTTTGAGCCAAAAAGACCACCATAGCTGATGCTTCATATGTGGCCCACTGATTACAATGCTACATCTGAGGGAAATGACAGAAAGCCTTGGCTTTGGAGCCAGCTATTAAGGTTTTTGTGACAAAGACAAACTGACGTTAAGATTAGTGTATTGTTTTAAAAAAAATTACATCTTGTGATTTGCAAATCGAGTACTGTAATTTCTTAAAGGCTCCTTGGGGTTGTCTTATTATTCTCTCTTTTTTGAGAATTGTGATCCCATCTATCACCTCCCGGTGTAAGTGTGCGTGATGCTTTGATTGTGTGAGTGAAACCCTGCAGGCTCCTGTATTTGTCTCTGAAAGTGAGGGAGCTCTGATGAATGTGCTACCTAGGGACAGCAAGGTCAAAGCTCTGTCAGTTTGAACAATATTGAATCTGTGTTTCTTCAGGTGTGTACTCTCTGGCTTTGTCAGACACGTGCATGTTTGCATTTGTGTAACTGATTATACAGGGATGATTCAAAAAGAGAGTTATGATCGTAGCTTTTTTGTGAATTTGTTTTGGGGTTTTTTAAGGTCTGAAAGAATTGGATTAATCCAATTAGTTATTATTATTTATTATTAGTTATTGGTTAATCGTTAAATGAAATATAAAGACTCTCCATGCCTTTAGCTGACATAGTGACCCACTTAAAGCAGTAACTATACTAACATTGTAAAAAAATATAAACATTTCACATTTACGATAAAAAAATAAATGTTTTCGTCTGTCAATATGCTCTATCCAGAACTCCTCAAGTGGAAAAGTTTGAGTTTCACCTGGTTTAATTTAATAAAAAGTCTTCTTAAAGGAACCTTTTTGTTATCTGATTATAAATCAATTAATCAACTAAATTATTGACGGATTAATCGATTTGCTAAATAATCGTTAGTTGCAGCCCTAGTTTTTTAAATAACTCTGCTGTTTACTTTGCACATTTAAGTGGTCAGTTTGGATGTGAAATATTCACAACATTACTCTTTCATAAATTAGTTATCTAGTTTCTTGCAAATGTGTCCTTTTACATTTTATTTTGTAACAACTAGACACATATGTGCATTTAATTGCATTTTTTGCAATTGTCTAGCATGCTGAAGGAGGAAAAGAAAATCTGAAAAATGCCAAATACAATGATATTCAGTCCTCCTCTACAGACATTAATAAAAAAAAGACACTGGGCAAAAACATTTTTTTTGTCCGAAATTTCTCTTAAATTTTGTCCTACCGTGGGCTTTTACAAAAGCATAACTTGAGATTTAACAAATGTTCTTAACAGTAAATTATCATAAATATTCCTCACAACATTATGCAGTACTAAATGTAAATCTGCATAATTACCGCCCCTTTATTCATTATAAGTCTGCGCCTCTGTGAATGAACACACAGGTGATAGTTCACCTGTGTGTTCACCCATTGCAAAACAATGTTCAGATAAATCTCCTTTTAATACACAAAGAAACAGGTGTACTGTATATCTCCAGACCACGTCTGCCATTCCCTTCATCGTACTCTTTATATCTCTCACAACGCATAATCATACATAAAATTTAACGTCTGATTTAACAAAGTCAGACCGACCTAAACCCAAATGTTCCACATTTAGTGTAATAACAAAGCAAAG